ATCTATCTATCTATCTATCTATCTATCTATCTATCTATCTATCTATCATCTGTGAGTGAATGAGTGAGTGAATCCCAAAGCAGCCCAGACTTCAGATTTGAAGAATAGTTATACGTTTCTCTTCCTCAGAAATTCACCCAACGAAATAATTAAATATGAACATGAATTTGGGCAAACTCTGGGAGGCTGTGGAGGACGGGGGAACCCAGCATGCTGTGTCCCATGGAGTCATGAAGAGTCAGACATGTCTTAGCGACTGAGCAATAACAACGTAACTAAATAGGGGAAGCTAAATAACCGTCGATGCTTCAATGCTAGTAGGAAATTCCAGGTAGAATTTTGCAAGAGGAATACGGGTCAACTCTAGCTGAAGAAAAAGAGACTTGTAGCTTGATTCAGGGGTGGGGCTGCTGGGGTTTCTCAGGGGTTCGGGAGAGCCCCTAGCTAAGATTCTATGCAGTTCAGAAACCCCCCCAAATCCCACTCCTGGCTGGCCCTGCCCTGCCCTGCCCTCCCCTCCCAGGAGTTACCACGTGGCCCGTTTTGGAGGCAGGTAAGTGCAGGGCGCGTGTGGAGGCTCAGGGAGGGTGAAAAACGGGCCTCCCGGAAGTTCAGGAAGGCCGGAAATGGGCCTGTTTCTGGCTTTCAGAGAGCCTCTGGAGCCCGGGGAGGGCAAAAATGTCCCCCCCCACCGTGGTGCAGGAGGCCGACTAGGCTAGGGGTCTCCAACCTTGACAACTTTTAGACTTGTGGACTTCAACTCCCAGAGTTCCTCAGCCAGCTTTGCTGGCTGAGGAACTCTGGGAATTGAAGTCCACAAGTCTTAAAGTTGCCAAGGTTGGAGACCTCTGGACTAGGCCATGCCCACCGTGGCCATGCTGACCCAGCAACCGGGCAGAGAACCCATTGCTAAAATGTTTGAAGCCCACCCCTGTCTCTACTGTAGAAAAAGAGATGGGTATCATTCTTCCTTTCTGGTTTTAGGACTTGGGGACTGGACCCAAAGGCTCCTGGGCCTGAAGAACTGGACTTCCAAACAGCAGCGTTGATGGTTAATTGTTTTTGAGATGGCTGAAAAAGATGGTGAGTTGAACCCTAGAAAAAGAGAAGGGAAGGAAAAACCCAACAACTTTCTTTCCTCCTCTGAATCCTCGACCTTCCCATCGCTCTTTCATGTTCGAGTAGGACTTTAAGACGAACATCTTCAGGCATTCAGGAGAAGTGCAAAGCTATTTGCTCCCAAGGGAGACCTCTGGCACCTTCTCTTTTATCTAATCATAATAATAAGGGTTTCTTTCCTCTCGGTTTAGTTTTAGGTTCAAAAGTGGAGTTTCTGAAGACCATCCAGAAAACTAAATATTGTGACAGTATAGCATAGACCTGGTTCACATGTACAAATCCACGTCTTACGGCTTGTTTGCTTTGGTATATACAGTGATACAGGGGTGGGATTCAAATTTTGGAACAACCAGTTCTGTGGGCGTGGCTTAGTTGGTGGGCGTGGCTTGGTGGTCATGTGACTGGCTGGACATGGCTTGGTGGTCATGTTATTGGCTGGGTGTGGCCAACTCAATATCACTCACATTGAGGCTTGCATCTCCTCGCCTGACCTCTCATGACTGTGGGGACGCTGCAACAATTGTAAGTGTGAAAAATGCTCATAAGTCACTTTTTTCAGTGCCATTTTAACTTTGAATGGTCACTCCACATAAGCAAAGTACCAGCAAAAGGGGGAAAGAAAACTCCAGAGAAGTTCCTGAGACAGGAAGTCTAGTCCTGCCAAGAATGTAATAAGGGTTAACAGAGAGGCAGTTTCTGTAAGCAACACCAGAATGTTTCCTTCCTGCCTTCCTTACAGGATTAGGCCAGTAATTTCTTCTAACAACCGGTTCTACGAACTGCTTAGAATGTTAACAACCGGTTCTAGTGAATAGGTGCGAACTGGTAGAATCCCCCCCCTGCAGTGATACCTTGGTACTCAACTGCTTTGAAACTCATCGAATTTGGTACTCAACGCATTTGGATGAGAAAACGTCGTCCCTTACTCGTTGTTTGTTTGGTAGTCAGCATGTCAGTGTCAGCTGCCTTGTGACTCAGTACATTATTCCTTATGAGAAAAATGTGTTAGGTATTCATCGTTCTGGTACTCATTGTGTCTGCTGGAACCAATTAACGATGAGTATCAAGGTACTGCAATATACCCATCCTCATGGCCTTTGTATTAGGATGTTGACAAACAGTGGTGGTATTCAATTTTTTTACTACCGGCTCTGTGGGTGTGGCTTGGTGGGTGTGGTATGGCTTGGCGGGCTTGGCTTGGCTTGGTGGGTGTGGCTTGGTGGGCATGGCAGGGGAAGGATACTGCAAAATCCCCATTCCCTCCCCACCCCACTAGCCTGCTTTCCAGCTCCATTCCCCTGTGCAGGGCAACCAAAGAAGACCCAGCCGATCAGCTGGGACTTGGGAGGCAGAGAATAGATGGGGGTGGGGCCAGTCAGTGGTGGTATTTACTAGTTCTCCGAACTACTCAAAATTTCCGCTACCGGTTCTCCAGAACCTGTCAGAACTGGCTGAATACCACCTCTGGTGACAAACATCCTAGGCTGCTGTTATGTACAATGGCAAGTCCAAGTCATTCTGAAATATTGCCACATTTCTCCATTTTCCCTTCCTAACTTGAAGGAAACCCTCTCTCTGTTATTAATGGTATCCGGGGAGGTGTTTTTCCACACCTGCTTCTGCCTGATGGGGACAGCTCTGACCTTTGCTGCCTGCTGATCTTTCTACCTTTCAGGAGAACTTAAAACATGCCGTTGGACTCTGCCTAAAGTCATGGCAGTGGGAGCCGGCACCTTCCTGCTTTTGGCTGGAATCGGAGTTGGGATTTGGGCAATAGGTAAGATCCCTTGTGGGTCAGAGAGAGGTTTATCTCTTTATTTAAAACACTTATAGATCCTCCCCACCATCTGAGACCCAATTCTGGATGGGTCCCAGTCAAGAAATTGGGGTCGGTTGTGATGTAAAATAAAAGCAGTGATTTTCAGCTGCAGGTTGGCAGGAATGAGGATATGCATGCAAATGAAAAACACTTGCATACAATGATAGTTAAGCATGAAAGCTGACTGGATGACTTTGGACCAACCACTAGCATATTGTGAGTTCTGGTCCTACCTTAGGCATGAAAGCTGGCTGGATGACTTTAGGTCAATCCCTAGGAGACTGTGAGTTCAAATCCTACCTTAGGCACAAAGGTTGGCTGGATGACTTTGGGTCAATCACTAGGAGATTGAGAGTTCTAGTCCTGCCTT